GGATGCTATTTCCACCCTGGAAAAATCTGGTGTATACTCCGTTCCCCTGCAGAATCCAATATCAGGACTATGCACCAATTATATAGGAGCGACTACGAGAATGCTGGCTGCTCGCATATCTGAACACCAACGTTCGGTGGCACTTGGCAATTGTGACACGGAACTTTCCAAATTGGTGATACAACACCACCACGTAGCGCTTTGGAATCGAGTGGAAATACTCAAACGCTGTGATGAAGGGAACTTGATATACATTTGGGAGGCCCTCCTCACAAAACTGCTCTCCCCGTGCAACACCCCTACCCTCGATTTACCGGACGTCTGGATTAATTTATTCAGGCGGTTAAAAAACCAACAATAATTTTGCATTCTCTTCCCGCACCTCCTACATGATTCAAAGCACATACATGTCGGCCCCTTTATGTGCGTCTGTTTACGTGTGTTATGTATTTTAAATTATGTCCCGCGCTTTAATATTTAAAATTTAAATTTTAACATAAACTTGCACTTGTGGATCTATTCCGATCGGTTTCTATGCTGTCTATGTTAAGGCGCATGCGTGCCAAAAATTTTATACGTATTTACAAAGTGTTTTAATTTAAATTCTAAAAATTTAATTGTTCTTAATAGACATCTAATTGGCTCTCATGTTATGCATGTTAAGGTGCACGTGCGCCAATTTTTCGCGTTCACATAATAATTAATAGCCACTCCAATCGATGTTTATTTGTTTTAAAACGCATGCACACCAATTTTAAATGTTTAATTCTAAATATTTAAATTTAAAATCTCTTTTTTGTATGTTCAAAAACGGCTAGTATCGTTAATGTTTTAAATTTAAATGTATGGTTCGAATTCTTTATTCGAATTTAATTTTACCTGAAGACGACGTGCTTATTTACGTCGAAAGCGCTCGTAAATTAAAAATAATTTCAAGTATATTTAACGCCTCATAGACTGACGTTCTTGGAAGTTTTGATTGACATAAGTTGGCGTGACATCCAACCCGTGAACTCAATACACCTAACAAGTTGGGAGGCCCTCTTTACCAACATACTAAATCTGTGCAACACCCTTCACATTTGATTTGCCCCCTTTGTGGGTTAACTTGTATAACTGCCTAAGACAACGTATCTA